GCTGCCCTACAGTAGGGGGAACCAGCTCTGGGATGACACTTACACACACACACATAGTCCTGCCCTGTCCGCCTTGCAGGGGCGCTCTGAGCTTATGGTGCTTTTACAGTGGAAAACGTCACCACAAGTTTGTATCCTGTCAGTCTAGGTGGCTGATAAGCGGGGCATAGTGGGGTGTCCTTGGGGTGAACTGCTAAGGGATTTGAGGGAAGGGGCAGGAAGGAGCAAGGAGTAGAGGGAGGGCCTGACGCTCTGGCTTTGTCCTCAGATGTGAATGAATGTACCTCGGGAAAACATTCCTGCCACAAATCCACCCAATGCCACAACACCAAGGGCAGCTATGAGTGCCGCTGCAGGTCTGGCTGGAAGCCGGTTCCTGGGTCCCCCAATGGCCCAAACAACACCATCTGTGAAGAAGGTTCGGAGTTCAGAACCCACATTCCCAAAGACCCACAACTCAAGCTGTCTGATCACATATTCACCAGCAGCCACAGGAACTCAGCACAATGAATGCTGGGGGTTCCCTGCTGTGCCAGGCTTCCATTCTTTGAGACTAAATGGGAAAAGATCTGGGGGTCCTGCAGAAGGAGCTGGGGTACAAAGGGGAAGGCTCCTGGGGGACCTCAGGCAGCAGCTAAGTACTAACTGGGATAAACTTACCTAATAGCTCACAACCTGTACCTCTGTGGGGGTTGACCTGCTGTGGGTCAGGCCTCTGCACACTTCCCATAGCCCCTGCGTCTGCCACTCAGGGATGTGCAGTCTGGAGGTGTCATCACCTCCAGCAAAGGTGTGGGAGAAAGGGGAAGGCTCCTGGGGGACCTCAGGCAGCAGCTAAGTACTAACTGGGATAAACTTACCTAATAGCTCACAACCTGTACCTCTGTGGGGGTTGACCTGCTGTGGGTCAGGCCTCTGCACACTTCCCATAGCCCCTGCGTCTGCCACTCAGGGATGTGCAGTCTGGAGGTGTCATCACCTCCAGCAAAGGTGTGGGAGGAGGGAGACTGAACACAGGAATGGGTGGGGCATGGAGAGGAGAGGGGCCCAGATTCCTGAATAAACAAAGGACTACTCAGTGTAAAAATAGAGCCTGACCCTGCCTCCAACACACACACACACACACATACACACACACACTCACACACACCTAGTAGACAGCTGTTCTGTCCCCTGCAGCGATCTCCTTCCCCACCTGGATCCCGCCCTCTGGAATCAAGAGCCAGGTGAGTGACTCCAGCCGGGACCAGGAGGCAAGGTCCCTCCACTCAGCCCACCGTCCACCCATTTCCCCACGCTCCCCCACCCATGCATGAGGCCCGCTAAGGCCTCATCTCCTCTTTCCCCAGAGTCTCTCTCACTTCTTTGAAAGAGTCCACAACCTGAGCAGAGACTTCATGTCTTCCTCGGTCCAGGACACCATCCAGGTAAGGATAGGACCCAGGGGAGGCAGGTGGAGGCATCCCATAGAGACTCAAGGAAGCCTTGTTCTGGAAGGAAACTGACCCCAACACAATGGTGCCCTACTCTGTGGCCTCGCTGTCCAAGGGTGGGTGGGAAGAGCAGACCAAGTATTTGTACTCACTGTTAGAATTACATACACCTACTAACACCGTTCCTCTTGTTCTGGCCACTGAGCTTGCATTGTCCTTGGTAGTTATGACCAGGGTTTGACCTCTGAGTGGGGATTTCACTAGCAAAGACCCAGGGAATACCATCAGGTACTACCTTTATTCCCAAATAGATAGGCTTTTGGGTTTGTTCTTAGAAGCTGTGTGGTCAGGGTCTTCCTGAAGCTTCTCTGGTGCAAGTACCACTGGTTCTGTGTCCCCATCCCCCTAGGACATCATACAGGAGGTGGATAATCTGCTGGAGAACCCGGGGGACCTGCTTACTCTGCCTCCTTCAGAGCAGCACTGTGTGGCCACTAACCTGCTGACTGGCTGGGAGCACGTCCTGAGAGAGCTGAGCAAGGCCTTGCCCAATGGGCCACTGACCTTCAGGACAGCTGCAGGATCAGGCAAGTAACCCCGCCTGCCCCCAGGCTCTGCTTTGCCTGCTCCTCACCTCATTCCTCTTCCCATTGCACTAGAGCTAAGTGATCACACTTGTACCTCCTTGTTAATCTCATAAACATATTAAGATAAAAGATAAAAAGAAAATGAAAAAAATTATCAATACTACACAGTTTAATTGTAATATTAATTATCAGCAGATGAAATCCTATATAATAAAAGGCTAATATGCAAATAGACCAAACAGCTATGACATGCACTGATCACCAGGGGGAAGACGCTCAACTCAGGAGCTGCCTCTTAGGGGTCAGTGCGCTCCCACAGGGGGAGCACCACTCAGCCAGAAGCCAGGCTTATGGCTGGTGAGCACTACAACTGCCAGTTTAGCCATCAGTCAGATATCCCTCCAAGGGCTCCTGGACTGCGAGAGGGCACAAGTCATGGCTGAGGGAAACCTCCCCACTCCAGTGCACCAATTTTCTGTTAAGATAAAACAGAAATGGCTTCAAAAAGAAACAAATTATTAAATTTGGAGGAATACAATTTACTATTATCTGATATTTAAGTAATTTGTTTTATTGAGGAAATTTCACATAACATAAAATCTACTATTTTAATCAAAGTATACAATTCAGTGGCATTTCATACATTCACAGAGTTTTACAATTATCACCTCTACTTCTTTATTTTTTTAATATGTTTT